GCCGCGATGTGCCTGCCTTGTCAGGATGTAGTCAAGGCGCTTGCAATCGTTTCCCGACACACCGTTGTATGTGTGCCATATTCCGCCCTGGCGTGTCTCAAAGAACATGTTCGTGAGAGCTAGCCTGTTTTGCGATATTCAACAGTAGCATGCCATTGTCGTTGAGCTCATCACGCCCGTATATTCCTACTACCCTTCCATCCTCTCCGTCCAACCTATCTCCCGTCCGCGCGTTGGCGTCCAGTAGGACATACACACATTCTTTGGAAGGGATCCTCCGCACGAGACTCAAGTTTTCCCCAGAACACGCGCTTGTTGTCGGTGGTTGAAGGTTCGGTTGTAGCATACGCGGCTACGAAGTTGACCGCTCCGCGGTAGCCTGCCAACAGAACCCTCATGGCCATAAGGCGTTCGTCGATAATCTCCGTCGTGAACGTGGATGTCTTGCACAGTGACTCTTTGACGGCTATCCCCACACCATGGACTCCACCAGTCTCCGTACCACAGCAGAACACCCGGAAACCCGCTGCTGCAAATTCCGTTCGACGTACGGACAGACGAAGGTACTGGGTAGAGATAACAGAACGGTGTTGTAATCAATTGTGAAGACAACATCAGCGGAACTGCTGGGTTCGTGCATGAACAGTTTTTGCAGCACTTATGAAGTATTCGTGTATTAAACAACTTCTTCATGGATGGGTTTCAATTCAACTACTACAATATCTTACTGGAATATGGAGGGTGCTCCTTGTTCGTATACATGGCACGTACCGGCAGTAGTTGATATAATATATCGCATCATCAACATTCACAGCTATTCATGGTAGTGTACGACGACGAGGATGTCAAACGATAGGCTTGTTTCGGAACGCTATCGGTGCCAACGCCGGCCGGCCGCGCTTTTTGCTGTGGAGTAATCAAGCTTTGAAAATCAAGAATAGTTCAGGGGGCGTGATATCTTATAGGTTGCTGTGTGCCCACGGCTGCTTCCCCAATTGATTTTTCTGCAAGTGCCGTTGTGTGCTTACTGGGTACGATGACGTGAGAAGAAGAAAGGCACTACTACTATTAGGGGTCACACGAAGAAAGTCATTACTACTATTACGTTCGTAGTGAAGAGTAAGCAGAAGACTCCAAAATCCCCTGTCGTGCCGTTTGTGTCGTGTAACGAGATGGCTAGTGACGGCGAGGAGGGTGGATAAGAAGAAGGTGGTACACAATATGGTGTTGTTGGTTGGTGTTGTCGTCTTCATGTAATGCCGTCTCGTTCCCTCTGCCCAGCACCTTCTTTTGTCCGCTGACCTAAAGCTGGGCTAACACCCGATGAACGGGGTCGATTCTTCCGTGGTCACAGTCTAAATGACCGAAAAATAAGTATGTAGGAAAATTGACAGTCCGCAAGCCAATAGAAAAGAAGCCAAGGACAGATTCGAGAGTGAAGGCCACTCCGCTCGACTGTAGGCGCTATGGACATGCCAAAAGAAGATGAGAATACTGCCGCAAGGTTTAACACGAACCAATCGAGCTTCGGAGGGGGGAAAACTGGACTAGACTATAGTCTTAACAGTTGCGATTTTCCCGTGGTGACGGCTAAGTTACTACCGACCAAGGTTTCGCAAGCCAATAGCAGAAGTGCAGGACAGATTCCAGATAGTCTAGGCCACTCCGCCATGTCTGCACGCTATTGACAATACATGCTGAAAGAAGATGACAATACTCCCGCAAGCATTAACATGAACCAACCGAGCTTGCACGGCATGGTAAAAATCGTCAGACAAAACGGGGAAAAACTACGTACTACTACTACCACTACTACTACTGCTGTACGAGTACGTACGTGCAGTGAGAAAAACAACCAAAGCCATTCCGCTGGACTGTAGACGCTATGGACATATATCGCGAAAGAAGATCCGAAGTGAAAAGACGATGACACGCGAATAGGAAATCAACGACTACGGACGCAGAGACCGATAAGAGACTGGTGGAGCGCGAGCAACGGGCTGTCCTTCTCAACATGAAATGGCGCCAAACGAGAAGAACGAAGTCTGGCATGCCATGCAAAAGTCGAAGGTTTTTTATTCTCCAGCACCACTCGCAAGGTGGTACACACAGCAGGGTGTCACTATGCAGAAGAAGTTTTAGCGTTCTCCTTGGCTAGCGATGTGTTTAGTCTCTTGGCGGTCCGCTTCGGATGGCCTCGGGCTGACACGAAATAAATGAGGTCGGTTGTCGGTCGGGTGAGCTGAAGCCGCTGCTGAGATGTGGCTTTTGCCTCGTCGGCCTGTCGATTCTGCTATTGGTTTCGTGTAGACCAAGCTGTAGCCGCTGCTGATGTGCCTTTTGCCTCGTCGACCCGTCGATTCTGCTGTTGTTTCCGTCTCCGAAGAGCTGTAGCCGCCGCTGATGTGGTTTTGCTTCGTCGGCCTGTCGATCCTGCTGTTGATTCCGTCTCGAACGAGCCTTACGAGCTTTCGGGCACACACAGTAAAACCATATAGTGAGTGTGATGGCACCGGGGTGCGATCGTTTTTTAAAGCATTCCTATCTTGGTATTTTATCAAACCCCGGTGCCATAACACCGATGGGTGCCATAACACCGATACCGGTGCGGAAATGCAATTAAATCATTTCGCCCTAGATTTCGAACGCACCCCCGGTGCGATGACACCGATGGGTGCGATGTGCAAGAAATCACAGCGGTCATGATGCGGTGCTGAGTGAGCGCACCACGGTGCGATGACACCGATAGGTGCGATACTCAAGAAACGAACAGGAGGCGTAGATTTCTTCGTTTTGCGTGCTGTAACTCTTGCAGTAATAGGAGCTTGCGTAGACGGTAACATGCAACCAGCCCGGAGTGATGATGATAATGATGAGGTCGAATTCGAGTTTGGGGTGGCGTGCGCCAAAGGGAACAGACGATGTGGTTCCCTGCTGAGGAAGGTATGTGTGTATGTTTCTCACATTAGCTATTTAGTCCACGAAAAATGGGGAGCCCGTGGTCTCAAAACCCTGCACAAACGACGCCGCGAGGAAACAAAACAAAAATAGGGTACAAACCACTCGGAAAAAGAAAACAAAATGATAAAAAAAGAAAATAACAGGTACCGCACCGACCGTTCGAGAAAAGAGTCCTCGGAAATCCATCACAATAAAACAGAAACAAAGAAAAGGAGTACGCTTCCCACACCCGCCTAAAGAAAAAAATCAAAGGGTAACGTACCAGCACCAGGCACTACGCACCAGGGCATTGGAGTAACGGAGCAAACAGGACAAAGAGGCGGCAGATGGGCAGACAGCCAGATGTACAAAAAACAAAAGCAACAGCAAAAGCGAGATCAAGGTACCCAACACGGTAGAGTAGGCAGGGAGGACATGAAAAGAAAGAAACACAACACAGAGGCCGAAGGCAATACACAAAGGAGTATAGCATACAGCAGGGAGGGAAACAGGGCGCAACAACATCAGCCGGGTACATCGTTCGCCACAAGCGCTGCCTCGGCCGCCCTACTCGCTTCTACAGCAGTGCCCGGTCGCCGTTTCTTCCCCCCCACCGCCGCTTCCCCGACTCTCTTTCTTTTGGGTCCTGAGATAGATAGCCGTACTCTCTGCTTCTGCTTCCCTAGCGCGCTGGCACTTCGCGGACGCTTTCTCCTCCTGCCTGTGCCATTTCCTCATGAGCCATGCCGCCCCGTCCTCGACCTTGTTGTACC